TTGGTTTATTAATTAAGTTGGATAAATCACTGCTCTCAGTACAATGTTGGTTTTGAGTCGACTAGCAGGACATATGAATCATTACATTGTACATGTTTTTTAAAGCAATTTCATAAGCACTGCAGTTCTGTGATATATCCTTCCCTGGGCCGTTTTCTGACACATGAGCAGTGCCAAATTATGCTAGTGTAGTGAGTCCAGCTGAGTCGCAGACGTTCCTTTTAGAGGCAACACTTTTATTTATAACACCGTAACACAAAGGGGTAGCTGCCCCTTTACCAGATACAACCTAGGGTGGTGACCACCCAGCTAACTACTCTATACAGAGGAGTTACTGCTACGAAGGGTCGGATCCTCACTCGGGTCTCCGACCACGTGGTTCCTCGTAGGACGAAGAGCTTCCAACTTGAGATGCAGAGCTTCCAGCTTGTAGAACGAAGAGACCCCGGTCCCTCTCAGGACCCGCCTTATATCCCGCTACGGGCGGGGCCGCTCCGCCCTCGGCCCCGCCCGCCTTCTCGAGCATTCTCATTCCCTCTTGATCCCTCTCAAGAGCTCTCCCCGGACACGTGATCACCCACTAGCCCCCCCACCTGGGGCCCCCTGTGTGGACACTCCGGATCACGTGTCTACAGGGTCAACCAGAGTGCCATGGCTCGGGGCAACCCTGCCCCTGGGCTGACATTCACCCACTCCCCCTCGTGGGAGCCCCCACCACACGCTGTGCATGGTGCCCGCACTATCCCAATGCTCACCAAGCCTCTCTAGGGCTGGTATTACACACAGCCACCCACACGGTGCAGGCCACGAAGTAGGAACATCGAACGGTGTGGCCCTTCCGCCCCCCCCCCCCCCCCCTTTCGTAGCATCCAGCCATCCCGGCTGTCAACTCCCCCTCAGACAGAAATCGGGCCAGCTTGTAGGTGGGTGAGTCAATGGTGGAGACGATAGGACTGAGTGGTGTACCTTCTTTATGGATTTTTGGTAGGCCATAAAATATGGGTGGTCTAGCAGCAGAGGGTTTTAGAGAGAGCCGCTTGGTTGGTTCGATTGAAGATGTCGAATCAGTGATGATATTGTTGGTTTCTGTAACCAGGCGGTTGGTAGGATCTCTATTGATTTTGGTATAGCTGCCATCATTAAGTAGATCCTGAATTTTATTACTGTATGTGGTTTTATCCATGACGACAGTGGTATTGCCCTTGTCGGCTGAGAGGATGACTATGTCATCTCTCTTTTTCAGTTGAGCAAGCACAAAGCGTTCATCCTTGCTGATGTTGCTAATGGGTTTCTAGCCCAGAAGAATTGCCTCGTCAAACTCTACACCACAGGGCTCGTTGCATTTCTGACCATCACCACCTAGCCAGTGAACTGGAGCACGTACACCAAGCCCTCAAGATGAATGTATATTCGAAATGCACAATCCGTAAAGCTGTCACCCCAACCATTGGGAGAGAACCACCTCAGGACCCTATCAAAACCATCACTTTACCATACATAGCAGGGGTCACCAAAAATATTTCCAAAATCATGAGCAAACACAAGATCCAGGTTCGATTCAACACAGTATATAAAATTTGTGATCTGGTCCCATCTGTGATGGATGTGATCAGTGAAATGCAATACCCCGTTGTCTACAAACTAAGTTGTGCCTGCGGCAATAGTTACATTGGAGAAACCAAGCGACATGTCTCAGACCGTGTTCGTGAACACAAGGAGGATCTGAAACACGGTAGGACTAATACCTCTGCCGTGGCTGATCATTATTTTAATGCTGCGGGAACACATGAAATTGATTTCTCCATGACGAAGGTACTATGCAAACCCACTGGCTATCAACAAATATTTGTTCATGAAGCCATCCAGATATATAAACAGACACAATTTCATCCAAGAAGATGGGTATCATTGCAAGGATGTTATTATCCAGGTAAAGTCATAACTGGCTGTGATGCTTCCATCCTACCTGCCGATGTTAACAGTTATTCGCGACTCTTTGAGTTACATTACCTTGTTAAATGTCTTTATATTAACAGGCTAAATGTCTCACTAACATAGTCGCTGCTTCCCTTTTCCTCGATGTGGCGGTGGCTCTCGTTTAATAGGCTGAATGTGTTTAATTACACAGCCGCTGCTGCGGGAGCCATCTCACATTGACATGCTAATCTCTAATCTCTAGCAATATAATGGCTTATTCAGCACCAGTAGTATGTACCGACTCTATAGTCGTATCTATCGACTCTACAGTAGTATGTACCGACTCTATAGTTGTAACTACTTACTCTATTGTAGTATCTAGTGACTTTACAGTAGTTCCTACTGACTGCAGTAGTATCTACTAACTCTTATAGTATATATCGACGCTATAGCTGTAGCTACTAACTTAACAGTGCCGTGGTGAGGCCTAGTTCCATGCAGAGCCCCCATCCTCGCCTAGATTGCCCAGCCGGCCGAGGTGACACCTTTGCAGGCTGGGACTGGGCTGCTACACACCCCCCACCATCCCCCAGCCCGCCCTACAGCAGTCACGTGCGGTCAGGGGAGGCAGGGGAGACAGAGCCTCACCTGTCATACTCCAATGAAAATAGCTGTTACGAAAAGTTACCAAAAAAATGTAGATTTTTCAACTGATCTGTGTTATAAATGTTATGTCTGTATGATTCCAATCATTTTTATAGTCAAAATCGCCAAATTTGCGGAGCTCTGCTGCAAATACAGTGAGAGATGAGAGGTGAGGCGTCGATGAGCTCAGCCTCCCCTCTGATTGCGCAACCCCTCAGAAACCAGATGGAGCACGGGCAATAAGCGCATGCCTGTTACTATCTCTTTGTGTGTCACCAATGTAATGTTTGTAGACCCCTTCATTACATGTCCTCGCCTTCCATAGTCCAGGTAACTTATTTCACGTATGTGTATAAAGATATTTAGGCTCGCTGGTCTCATCATAAAACTGCAATGAAAAAGCACCAGGGGAGGCAGCTATTACATCTGCCTCACTTCAGTGAAGCCACGCCCCCCATCCTAGCCAGTGCCTTCCCAGCAATTGACCTCACCGCACGTCACTGTTCTACAGTAATAGTATCTGAGGACTATAGTAGTATCTACCGACCCTATAGTAGTAACTGCACACATTGGAGTGGTGGGAGAAGAGGAAATCACACTTTGAAGAATTTACCTCAGCGGGTTTTTTTTTTGCATTTTATAACGCGAATGAGAATTTCTCCCCACCCCCACCGATCGCGTGCGTTGCTAGGGGCAACCGCGGGTCAGCTTTTCCGCGCATGCGCAGATGCGTGCTTTGGCACGCTCGGCATAGTAATAGTATTACATTGTTCATTAACTACTTTAAACTTGACGGATGGAAAAAACAAATAGCATGTGTGCTATGTGTTTTTTCGGTAAAGTCACGTAGAAATAAGAAATAATAATAAAATTACATAATAGCATACGACGTTTCGATTGCAACGCAAGCAATCATCATCAGGCATAGAAGAGCTAAATTTAAGAGAGAGAGAGAGGAAACACAGAACCGCAGATTGCTAAATTATAGGTTAAGAGTGATAGAGTACAGATCGCAGACACTTATAAAGACATCTTAGCAGAGAGAGTTAGCACAGAGACACACAGAGAGAGAGACACACACATGGGACACAGTGAAACAATGCTTCTGTGTCGAAGCCTTAAATAGAGCAATTTTTGAAATAACATAATCAGCCAGACCATGCGTTAGTTGTTCGATTTGATGTGCTTCTCCATCTCTCTTTATCTCCCCTACATGCTAAGGCCTCGGCACAGAGACCCCTATCTCTCTGTGCTCCATACGTTGTCTCTCTTTGTGTCTCTGTGTTAACTCCCTATACTTAGGTGTCTGTATATATATCTGCGGTTCTGTTTCCTCTCTCTCTTAAATTTAGCTCTTCTGTGCCTGATGATGATTGCTTGCGTTGCAATCGAAACGTCGTATGCTATTATGTAATTTTATTATTATTTCTTATTTCTACGTGACTTTACCGAAAAAAAAACAAAGAGTAATTCCTGCAGTCACGAAAGCACCAAATCAAGAATGTGTGTTGTTTGTTGAAACGTAGACCCAGCAGTTTGTGAGTTTAAAGCATCACAAGGTGTGTCCACACACAGACAAAAGGTGACTTTTATAGGTAAGAATGCTCCTGGCCCCATGCAAGCTTAATCCGGCACTGCACATGAGGTTGCACTGTTCTGCAAGAATCATCATTGGATACTTCTTCTTTTGACACGTTGCTGATAGCTGAATGGGAATAATGAGTCACAATTGGGGGGGATGGGAAATAAAAGTTAATATTTCTCTGCAGGCAACATGCTTGGAAAAGCCACCCTTTAAGGATTGCATCTCATCACAATCTCTTGGATAGTTTAAGAAAGGTGCCTTTCTGCTGTGCAATGACTACGTCGCAGATCGTGGGTTGTGAGCCCGCTCCATTCAGTTCACGAAGAAGACCCCCCACTGATCATGCCACACAACACGTGGTCAAACCTGAAAACAACTTCACAGTGTATTCGTGAACACAAAGCAGACCTGAAACACGGTAGGACCAACACCTCGGCCGTAGCAGGTCACTGTTATAATTCAGTAGGCTCACGTGACATTGACTTCTCCAAGACAGAGTTTCCTTGCAAGCCATCTGGCTCCAATGAAAGATTCGTTCATGAGGCTCTACACATATACAAACACAGAGACAATTTCAACCGAGAAGATGGATTCTGGCTTAGCAATCATTGGAAGGATTTGATAAACCATTTCGTGTCTTAATTGATTGATCACGCTTAAGGTGGCTTTCAGACCGCATCCATTATTTTTCGTCTCCCCCCTCCTCTTTTCCGAACATAGATGGACTCGTCCATCTGAACAAACTGTCAAATCGCTCTCCGTGGTGCTAACGTTAAAAATAACCGCCACTTTTTTCTAAATTTCTTGCCGTGGTTTTCACACCTGATGATGATTGTTCGTGTTGCAGTCGAAACGTCGTGATAATTGTATTGTTTTATCTTTTTATTATTTTATTGTTTCCCTTATACGTGACTTTACCGAAAGAACCAAGAATATAACTTCACAGTGATTTAGAAATACCCGTAAAACCCTTTGCCAAGATTTATACAAATTGCTTGTAGGTTTTTTTCTTAGAGCAAGTGTGAACCTGGCTTGCTTTTGCCCCTCGGGATAGATGCCACTCCTAATGAGAAAACCCCCCTCCAAATTACATATACTCCGAGCATTTATCAGCCAAGTTACTTAAAACGAGGCTCCATGGCAAGACTCCTGCTCATCGCGATCTTCGCTGTCGGATGGACATCGCAGAGTGAGTGTTGTGCTCTTGTTATATCACTTGAAATCAAAATGCCATATGAATGATAGATTAAAACAAGACTCATAGCCTGCAAAGGGCCGGGAGTTTTTTGCATTTGTTTTTGCTTAAACATTAGGGGACTGAACAATAATGGCCGCACAAGTGACAGCCAGGGAATAACCACCCTGGCTGTCACTTGGAATTAAAATAACAAACTACGCGCCGATTCATGTGACACCTGCACCGTTTTTGTACTCGTGCCATGAGATATTTTCAATCGAATACTAATGAGTAGTAATTACAGTTCATTAGTTACCAGTGGATCTTTACAAGCTTTAATTATTCAAATCAGGTGGGGTTCCAATTCGTTTGGATGGATGGGTAGCTTCCTGTGTATTGGCTGTTTGCACAGCACTTGTTATTATTTAAACTTGATGTTGCTTTTTTGTATTGATATTCTTGGTTCTTTCGGTAAAGTCCCTTCTACGTGACTTTACCGAAAGAACCAAGAATATGAATCCCTGCAATCACGAAAGCTTTAAATAAAAAAAAATGTATTGAATTAAGTGTTGATTGTTTGAACATGTTTTACGTTAAGTTGTTAAAATAGAACATTGTTACAATTATTGTTTACGTCTGTCATTGTAACCAGCGAACGGCACAATTACTGCATTCTCAATGCACTTTTTTTTATTCGAGTGTAATTTGTTTACAAAAATGTATTGGACAGACACATTTACACACCCTCTCAACGCACGGATCCTCTAAGTTGTTCATGTGAATGTGTTTATGTTGCACTGAATACATTTTAAAGATGAATTAAGCTCGAAATGATGGATTACGTGCAGTTACAGTTATAACCAGGACTCAACCGCAAAAAAACAACAACAATAACAACGCGCTAGTGACTCTTTAAAACTGTTAAAATACATCATTTTGCTGTTCGCAAACTGTAAGTTAATCGAACTATTTTAATAAACACAGGGTATTATCGAAATAAGTGGAGTGCGTTCCTCCTGTCTTAAAAAGGAAAGCTCGTTATTGACATCCATTTTCGTGTTTTAGTTTTGTCAGTTTAATTGAGGTTTCAACTTCAATGTTCAATTTGGGCTGTGGCACGATCAATTCCATGTCCTGGCCCTATGAACGATTCGCTACAAATTCAATATCCTGTATTGAATGAAGGTGAGACTCACTGTTCACCGTAATCCGCGAGGCACGGTGGCATTTGTATGCTCATGAATGTGTCGTAATATATGTAATTTATTTGTGGGTTTCTTATTAGGCATGAAAGCCATGCATAGCGTGGCAAGTCAGAACTTGGAAACAATGTACACACACACACGATCCGAGTCATCACAACACCGGCATCATAAAATGCACGGGTGTCAAATTTCGCAACAATTCTTGTTTTTACTCGACTCTAAGAATGTAGAGGGTCAGGCTGAGCTTTTATCGAAAGAAGGTGGCGGGGTTAGTGTTAGGGGGGGGGGGGCTCTCAACCCCTTCCAACTCCCCCCCCCCCCGCAACTATGGTGGGGCCATTCCGACCGTGCGAGTGTTGGTGCCTGTTACAGGGGACCCACGATGCGAGGAAGTGTCGGGCCACCCCGTGGTGCCATCACGCCCGGCCCCGCCACTCCCGTCGCCGATCACGTTACCCGCTCGGCCCGGACGCGGAGCCCGAAGGTTGAGACGTTGCACGTGCAGCTCCATGCTCGACACGGATTGCATCTACTACTGCCACATGGACATCATCTGGGTGAACACGGCCGTGTGCGTGAGACGCCCGTCGAGGGCGGTGTCCCCTTATTTAACACGGCCAGCAGCGTATTCGTGGTCTCTGACCAAGTTATTCATAATTGCGGTGGCGAGATGTTAGCTGCTTCGTCCGGTATGCAGGAAGTCATGGGTTCCATCTCGACCCTGACGCCTGCTGTATGTTTGGAGTTTGCGCGTTTCTCCCCGTGGTCGCGTGGATTTTTCTCCGAAGCCTCCAGTTTTTCCCTCCACATTTGAAAACGTGCGTTTAGAGTATTTGGCTGCTACACATTTCCATTTGATAAGCCACTTCGTTGAGCTATCATTTGTGGCCAGGTCGCATCTGAAAAAAGCTGTATACTGTAGCTCAGTGGGCCTTATCCTTGTAGATTTTTGTATAGTATTGTACTGTACTTACGTATGCAGCTCATTTGTTAATCCACTGCTGGATGAGGGCCTTCACACGCCGTTCGGGCTGTGGAGGTAATTTGGCCATATTTCATTAAGTTGGTCAGTGTGGGTTGCTGAAGGGGAGGGCATAGCATTGCAGAATAATGGATTTTCCTACAATGCCCTCTGCTGTCCACCACATAGCACTGCAACCTATTTAACCCCGTTGTGCATGGGGGTTGAATATCCAAGCGTTGTCCAGGCTCACAGTTGTTTAGCTTCCGAAAACTGACGCGATGCATTGGTTAAAATTGACCCTTTCCGTATATACGTTCACAAATTGTGTCACGTGCAATAGAGTATCATGTCACACGATGACGATGTCTTCGTTCAGAATTCTGCAGCGAGCCCCATGTCAAAGAATAGCCCTGGATAGCATTGCATAACTTATTTTGAAGTCACTTCAATGAACGTCTGTATCCACACTTAGTGGCCCACCTTCTCCTGCTCTGCAAGGTTTTTCATCGCATGTCGATTAATAATATGAAATCCAAATGAAGCGGGAGAAAAAAATCCCACCAAAATGTATAGTATAGTTTTTTTTGTGTGTGAAAGTTAATTGGCGACTAGGCTCAAACCGTCAAACTTAATCACGGCAAGGGTGAAACCTGGGTGCAGCCCCACGATCTTAGCGACAACAGCTGAGCGGAGCACTGCACCACGCTCATCACTCATGAACCTGTGATCGTGTAATCCGACAGGCGAACCGTCCCTTACGGAGTTGGGAGCCGGACGAGGAGGAGGAGACGTCGAGTCGGCAGTGCCGGCACCTCATCGGAGGCGGGGCCTAGCAGAGGGCAGCGAAGTCGCTGCCCTCCGCACAGGTGCAGCTGCTCCTGGAGCGATGATCGGCACTGCAGGGATTTCTGCAGAATGACAGGCGCAAGGCCACAGTGATGAACGGGTGTCCAGGTGGTCGACATCCAACGTTGACGTCTGAGTTTATTTCCCGATCTGGGAGAAAATTTTGAAGCTGTCATTTGGTGATGTTTGCAAATGACAGAAACGTGTAACTGTCCAGAGAAAATAAATGCATGCAACTTTTATAAGATGCCATCATCAGTATCCTCATAAGCTTTACCGTAGCAATTTCCTATTCTGTTCGTGTACCAATGGTATGCATGTGATAAAAAGGATAATGGACCTGTGATTCTTTAAATAAGTTGTTTATCTTCTTTTTGAAATAGAGGAATGAAATACATTTCCATAATTGAGCTATTTGTTACCTGTGTAAATTAGTTTTTCCTATGCTATGTTGTTGTTTTGAATCTAGAGATTTAAATAAAAAGCATCTCTGGATAAACTGGATTGATTTTGCAGTATTTTTCTCAGTGTATGCCCTGTGTCAGAAAATGGCCATGGGAGAGATGTTTTAACAGGACTATCCTCCCCCCCAGAAAATAATTCAAGTGGCCTTTTCAGCCGAAACCATGCTTTTTACCAAACTGAAAATGATTCAATTGGAATCGTGTGCGCAAAGCCGCAACCATTGTGATAATGCGCAAATATTTAAATTCTTATTTGCCAATCGAGTAGACTGTAGGAGTTACAGTGTGTTTAACCACCCCAACAAGGTGAGCCAGTAAAAGGCTGTTGAATGCTTTATCAGCCAATTATGACATTGTGATTGAATCCTTAGATATAAAAAAACAACTTGATTTGGCGCTTTCGTGACTGCAGGAATTATGCTTTGGTTCTTTCGGTAAAGTCACGTAGAAATAGAAAATGATAAATTACATAATATCATACGACGTTTCGATTGCAAAGCAAGCAATCATCATCAGGTACAAGTGAAAGAGAAACAAACCTAGTGAACTTAGAAATGTAATGCAACACGGCGCAGAAAGTCGGCTGACACAACAGTCAACACCCAGCCTGGTTGATTACGTCCAAGAGACACAGAACCGGAGACACATACACAGACACACAAGCGGAAAGAGTTAACACAGAGACACAGAGAGAGAGAGAGACACGCATGGGCACACAGAGAAACAACGTCTCTGTGTCGAGGCCTTGAATAGCTAGAGAGGGGGTACAGAGAGAGAGAGGGGGGTTAGAAGAATTAGCATGGCAATGGGATATATTTACTAAAATGTTATACTGGTAGGAACGAAGTTGTAAACTGAGTGTACCAGCCTGCAATAGATTAATGTGTCTGTCCGTCCCCTTTCAATACTTTAACGAAGTGACATCTCGTGCTGTTGGGTGTTAGAGGTTAATTTGTCCGAAGAACCCTCAACGATTTTGAGGGCAAAAAGGTGGGAAGACGCTCTCAATTTGCACAATTTTACGTAACAATGTCGTAAAATTGCGCAAAATTCCAATGTTCCTACCAGCCCACCCTGCAGGGACCTGTTTTAAGCACGTAATAAGGAGAGCTGCGCTTCACTTGCACAACTAAGCAGCGTCGTAACATGAAAATATATTCACTCTGAGAAGCTAGTTTTGATGTCCAGCCAGGATTTTAACCCAGGTCCTCAACATCTCCGGCTCATTACTCCAACACAGGCGTTATGCCCTCGACCCACCCCTCTTCACTGTAGCTCTTGAATGCCGAGAAAGAGGCTTGACATAAAAAAAGAATCGAGCCCCTCTAGGGCATCAGTGCGTGCAACAAGTGGAATGGCAGTGCGGTGTAGGCTACTTGCCTGTGCCGTGTGCCCGTGAGAGAAAATAACGCATGTACAGACAAGCACGTGGTCACGATAAGCGCACGCTTGCACCGAGGAAACGGATTATTCATGCAAATCCATTCCCTGGTCTGCACAACCACTCGGGCTTCCTGTACCTGAAGATTCATATGTGGTCTTAAAAAAAATAAATAATGACAGAAGAAAATCCCCCACCTTATCATCCCTTATTATTCTCTCGTACAATCTGTTTCCGCTGTACAACCGAGCCACACTGGTGCCACGGCAAGCCAGCCCAACACGGGTCAGGATGCACCATGTTGTGTTTTTTTCACTGCAGAGGCCGAACCGTGCCGTTGACATCACGTACAATGTAGACGACTCGGTGACGCCGTGCCCTTACAGTCTATTCACTGACATCACACGCAATGGATGGGGCATTAGCCCCCCGCTCCTGGCCCTGCTTGGCCCAAAGGCAAATTCAGATATCCGGATAGGCCCCACCACCGATTAGCGCGGCGATTGGCTATGTACAGTACAAAAGAAGTTCAACATACATACAGGTCACTTTACCACAATAGTTGGCTTTCTTGCTTGGCATGGCAAAGAGACAAACGACCCATACTGTGGGGGCCCCATGCTGACACAGTTTGGATATGTCGTTGGAAAAGAGGTATATACTGTATGTCCACTATAAGTCTAATAAGGCTATTTGATATGCCCTGGTAGATGATAGAATGTTCTCCATCGTGTCTCCTGTCCAACCTATATGGTCTTTTCCCAATATTCTGCACATGCCACCGCTTCAGGTGTTGGTATTGCCAAATCGTGAGGAGTGCATTGTGGTACCGCAGCGCATCTCATTGTTAGGTTGTGCAGAAGCCCTATGATTTCATGAGATAATGTTCACCAGCAATGTCAGTGTAAACCGGTTCGTTATATAGTGGGAAACGCTTAAACTTCAACGAGTCTTAGAAGCAAAGGACCTGCAAATACTGTGCATTGAAAGACAAATCGTGTTTAATTACAGATCTATGTTTGCTTGGAGGTGTGGGTAGTTTCTCACACCCCTCTTTGAAACTGATTTAACATTTTCATACTTTCAAGACATGTAGCTTCTTGCCCGTTACTTGTCCGGGTGAGAGAGCACTAACTCACCACGGTGACTGAGTCACCACTGCAGTGGCGATTACACAAGTGCAGTCAATGTTGAATTATTTTGCCATTGGAAAATTCGTCATTTCCACGTCGTTCAATTGCAAACGCAGAATTTCAACCAAGGCCCTTGGCACGGTCTGAGCACACTCTTGCGAATGACGTCATGGCAGGTGGCTTGCCGTTCCCTCCGATATTCCTGGGTAACAGCGGGAACCGGCAGTACTGGTAGCACGCGCACATCACTGCTGCCCTGCTTTGCGGGCGAATCACACTTGATCGTTGGACTGGAATGTTGGTGTCGGCCGCTTATTCTCCCCCCCCCCCCTACGCCCAAGCCAAAAACATCACCCACAGCCCTGTTCAGACAAAACCAGCGACCCGGGCCACGGTGATACCAAGCACGACAAAAAAACCCCTTTGAGATGACTTCAAGGCACTGCCACAGTAAAGCACTGTGGTTACTGGGCGTGAGCACAGAATGGAAGCGTTGCCCGATTTTATACCTCCTGAAGATGAATAACTGTGGTTAGGGTCTCTGCTCAAATCCATAATCTGGAAACAGAAGTTGAAACTCGGGCCCTTTCACATTGTCTACAGCAGATGCGACCAATCTTTATCAACAGCAGCAGCGACTGTATTGCCTTTTTTAAATCTCAAAGAACACTTAATAGTGTTTTGATTTACTGTACGATGGTTTGTTTTAAAGTAACCAGGCAGCTCAATTGTAAAAAAATAGGTGGGTGTTTTAAAAAATAAACATGTCTAATGAGACCTATGTCAGTGTGATTTTGTAAAAAAGATTGTGCTATTTAATGGGGCATGAACCTGCTTTTGGAATGCAATATTGTGTTGATATTTTTTTTTATCACAGATGGCAAACATATGGAAACTCTTGCAAGACTGCACATTCGAAGGACAGAGAGTTACACATTCGAAGGACAGAGAGTTACTTGATGTTGTTGTTGTGCTCTTACAGTGCGAGGACAAGTTAAATGTATGAAGAATAATGCTGCAGAGTGTTTGGCAACTGCATAAATAATGCTGACGCTTGTGAGTAGAACATGTGCAATTAGTCAATTTGCATCCTGTATTGCAATGATTACGTGAGTGGTAGGCCAGTTATTCAACTCAAGCCAATGCCATTCGTGTTGAGAGGTTTGAATTTGGGTGACCAGTAGGTAGGAGTTAAACCTCATGAACAGCGGTCAAGGGAATGTGTGGGAAAAGTTCCTTCAATAACTTATGACAAGTTGAATTTTCAAAGTGTGCCCTTTAGGTTTAAGACATGTGAACGTAAGACCACGCATCAGGCAGGGTGCACCTTTGTCGAACGTTACTGGCTAGATTCCTACATAAGAGAATGCATCCTTGTCTCACATCTTCACTGCCTATGACACTGGGATCCATTCTTATGAGCCGGACAGTGAGTGCCAAAAGCAATGAATGGACATATTCTGCCAGGAACATAATGTCAATCATGACATTGTCACGAGTGATTTTTGTTTTACTTGCTGGAGAACAAACTGTGAGGCTGGAATTTCTTAGAGATGCTGTTGAGAAATAGTGGTGTTTCATCACTATAATGTAGGCCCACAGCATGCATGTTCAATTATGGGAACGTTTGGATGGAAGACTGGAATGTTCTGGTACATTCGGCACATAGTCCAGACCTAGTCCCTTTGGGCTCTATCTCTTAAAACCTTTGGCAGCTAAACACAGAAGCTGGCTTGACAGTGATTACCATGTGAAGGTGGTAGTGGCTTCAGAATGAACAACAAGACTTCAGTATGGCTGGCATAGGATATTGGTGGGCCCCTGGAACCAGTCTGCTTTAATACAGGTACCCATTAGAAGTGACTGGAGAAAGTCTGTCATGTTGATGCTCACAACTGGTGTCTAGACTATTACTTATGTAACCGTACTGATTGAGACATCCTGATGTTACAAACATATTTTCATTTTTTTTCCATAATGTCCTGAACATTCACGTCACAAATCAGTTACATGTGACTAGAGCAACGCTTTCGAATATTTTCTTCAATATTTTATTCCAAGTTTAGTTACATTCAGGGCATTGGGGTGCCGCCCCAGCAAGCAGCTGGAGATGACGAATGATGTTTCTAATAAACATCATTTTCTATAAATTGTTCTGTTGTTTACTTTTTTAATGAAATTATTATTTCAACGTGAATTGCCTGATGAAGGTAACATTTTAAGTTGTTCGTATTAGAAACCGCTGCAACGCCACAGTCTTATGTGTGCCTCGGGGAGGTCTCGGGGCCGCTGAGAAGGCGTCCGAGTGAGAGATTTCCCCTTCGTTCATTGCGATCAGCTTCTAGCGCTGTAGCCACGCCGTTTGAGACCCACGCAGGGTGGTGAACAAGGCGCCCGTGGCTGTGACGAGAGACGACGTCACAACGCGAGGTCGCACCGTGCGACTCTAGCAGCTCACGCGCGGCTTTTGGCAGTGTTAAAGGGGTTGTGTTGTGTGGCCTTGAGGGTCATGGGGACAGCATTTCAGCGCATTGCTGTTTAGTTTCGTATTGTTTATAAATGCCTACCGTTGGTAGATAAGAGAGTTATATCACTTTCACGGGAAGGCCAATAACATGACGAGCTT